TCTCCTTCTCTCTGCCTCCTGCCTCCCTCTGTCTCCCTCTCTCTTCCTCTACGCCACTCTGCCTCCCTCTCTCTCCCTCTCTCCCTCCCTCTCTCTCGCTCTGTCTCCCTCTGCCTCCCTCTCTCTGCCTCCCTCTCTCTAAAATCTAAACTCCAAAAAGCCGCATTGAGATGGTCCTAATCAATCTCCAAACGCCGGGTGTTGTTAGTTCCCGCTACAGTGGTCGTTGACAGAGAAGCAGCCGCTCGGCCTGATGGGCTGTTTGTCTATTAACCCCGCCTTGCGTTTCAATTTCACAATCCACTGAGCAGCCTGCTTAGCCTCACGGGACTGGTATGATGCAGAGTCTGTGAGGGGGACCGTAAGCGCCCGCTCTGTGATGTCACCTGTGGGGAGGTTGGGAACTGGTTTGAGGGTCTGACTAGGCAAATTATGGTGACCAAGTTCTAGAGTGGAAGAGCAGAGAGAGTGAGAAGAGAGAGAGAGAGAGAGAGAGAGAGAGAGACCAGACAGAGACTTGAGACCAGAGAGAGAGTAAAGAGAAACCAGAGAGGCCTTAGGGAGAGACGAGTGAGAGAGTAAAGAGAGAGGGACCGGAGAGAGAGACCAAAGACTTGAGACCAGAGAGAGAGAGACTAAAGAGAGACCAGAGAGAGACCTGAGAGAGACTAGAGAGAGAGACCAGAGAGAAGGACCAGAGAGAGACACCAGACAGAGACCAGAGAGAGACCAGATCGAGACTTGAGAGAGACCAGAGAGAGACTAGGCAGAGAGATAGGAGAAACCAGAGGGAAAGACCAGAGAGAGAGAGAGAGACATCACTTTGACTTCTAACTTTCACATGTGGTATAAAGCTGGGATGTGGTTTCCGTGCTCGTTCAGCGAAACACATTAAAGTCTAAAAATACAAATATTAAAGATGGCGGATACAGCCCCGCTCTGTCCCACGAGGGTACTGTTGTTGTAGTGGAGCTTGAAAGTGACATTGCAGGGTATACCTTCCCCCCACCAGAGTACCCTCACCCACCCTCACCCAGGCCCTCAAGCACTCACTGCTCTACGTCGGGCCGGGAGAGGAAAGAAATCAAGATATTTGCACCTCTTTGGGGTTAATCTGTAAGTGTCAGGCTCAGTAGGACACCTGGATAAGCAGAAGAAGTAATTTGAATGGTATTTTCACAGAATATTGTACCCACAGGCTGCGAGAAAGTGAGGAGAGGTTGGGTTCTAATCATTTGAGAGTAGGCGAGGGTCGGGGAATAAGAAACCGAAACTTGTGCTTAGCAAGAAACGTCGGAAACAAGAAAGAGAACAGAAAGAGACTAGAGGGAGAAAAGAGAGAGACCAGAGAGAGACTAGAGAGAGCCTAGAAAGGGACTAGAGACAAAGTACAATATAAACTGCTAAACATGGATTTTTTTAATCTATCATCCGTTTTATGTTTTCCCCTCATGACACTTTAATTCTACTTTAATGTGCGTAACAACAAAAAACATTGAAATATCCCCAACTTGGGACTGATATTGGTATTGCTATTTTGAAGGACTGACAGCAGTGAACTTGCGGAAACATACAGTAGTTTCTCCAGTCTAAATCTCCACTCACGCTTCATTCTTCTCCATCGCTAAAATCTCGAACCACATTCTCTCTATTTACATTTGTTGTGTGTCCTCCACTGGTGAGAGTATGTCGCAAGTCTGTGTGTGTGTGTGTGCGTCTATGTGTGTGTGTGTGTGTGTGTGTCTCTATGTGTATAAATATGTCCACAGAGCAGCAGGCAAAACAAACCGCCTCCACTTCTCACCCGCCCACGCTGTTCTGACGGCTGCTACGGGCCCGGAGTATTCACCAGACGAGGCTCAGTGTCTAATTCGCCTCAGGGGCTTTTATTTTTTTTGTTTGTGAACCAAGACTATTTTCATTTGTGCCAAAAAGCCTGTCAAAGGATCACACTCACCCCACATTTAAAACTGAGGCGTATAGGGCAATTTTGAGGTAGTACTGTACTAGCGTCTTTACTGCTAGCTTGTTTTGTTTATGTACTTGTCTGGTGCACACTGGGGACTTTTGCACGTGTGGTTTTACTGCAAATGGCAAAAAAACTGAATCTGAATCTAGTACGACTTAATTACCACATGTTTTGATGGTAGATACGCGCTGTGGTCTTTGGAGAAGTGAGTCCCAAGAGTGAGCCCAGGCCCACTTCCCACATTTATGAACTATGCTTTGTTGTCCCATAGTGGGGAATAACCTGCTACGAGCCCCTCCCACAGCCTTAGCTCCTCTAGCTTTGGGATTTTCACCTTGTCTTGTAAGTAGAAAAAGGTCACTTGGTTCTTCTATAACATGTCAAGGTAATAACATATCTTACAACCAAATAACCTTCATAGCTCCCTAACTCTTTTTTCTATTCGCTCTCTGGTCTCTCTCTCAGCTTTTCTCTCTGGTTTCTCTCACTAGTCTCTGATCTCTCTCTAGGCTAGTAATAGTAGTAGTAGTAGTAGTAGTAGTAGTAGTAGTAGCCTTGGCAGTAGTAGTAGTAGTAGTAGTTGTCTTACGGGGGCGGCACGGTGGCTCAGTGGATAGAACTCTCGTCTCTCAGCAAGAAGGTCCTGAGTTCGAATACCCGGTCGGAACAGGGCCTTTCTGAGTGGAGTTTGCATATTCTCCCTGTGCAGTGTTGGGCACGTTACTTTGAAAAAGTAATTAGTTATAGTTACTAGTTACTTCTCCCAAAAAGTAACTGAGTTACTAACGGAGTTACTCCACTATAAAAGTAACTAGTTACCAGTAAAAGTAACTATTGCGTTACTTTTTTGTTTTGTTCTGAAACATAATGTGCACTCGCATTTTTACCTTTAACCTCAGTGAGTTTAAATAGTGCCAATATTTCCATCTAGAAAAGTCTGTTTTGCTGCTGAAGTCCTGTTCACTCTTCATCTCTCTCTGTGCTGTAAGCACTAAACACCAACACCCGCCACTGTGAATGTGGAAACACCGGTGAAGCACTGACTTCAGCCCAATCAGATGAACATATATATCATATAAATCAACTGGACCAAGGGAGCGGCATATTCACAATTTGTTTGGCTACAGCAGAATATGTTTCATGCCCGCATTGTTTGTTCATACAAAACTCAAAACTATGAGTTATGGGTCTTACCTTATAAATGACCTGCACAGGCCACTTCGGTTCAGACCAGTTCTGTGTTTAAGTCCAGATAATAGTTTGAGCGTAGATATGTAATCCTCCATTTGGAAATGAGTCCAATGAGTTTTAAAAAGTAAAACAAAACGCGTGTGTCCTCCGTAAACTCCTCTGTTTTGTTAGCTGCAGCCGAGTGCATCCAATTTCTAAAATCTTACACTTCACCTCTCTTTCTTATCATTCCTATAGTCATTGAAAAATTACCCTATGTGCATTTTAGATTATCTTAAAATGTGTTACATGTATGTTAGCCAAACCTGTTGCTGTCCTTAGCAGATAAACCAGGAGGAGAAAGGAGCTTTTGGATGGAATTGTATGCAGCCAACTTCTGCGCTCACATGAGCTCCCCTGAGGCTGACCTCACGGTGATACAAGCCGTGGTTGAGTGCAATTAAGACCCATATTTGTTTCAAAAACACAATTTATGAGCTATCCTCTCAACTGTAGACATGTGGATTGTAAAGGAAATATGTTTTACATCAGCCAATAATTGCTGAGAGGTTTTCTCATCCTCCCTTCTCTCATGACAACACGCGCACGAGTCCTATCACGAAGTAAAAAGAGAAGTTCATTGTGCGTCTTGAGTAACGCGCAGTAACGGGATGTCGGAAATGATAACGGCGTTATAGTTACAGTCAAAGTAACTAGTTAGATTACTCGTTACTGAAAAAAGTAACGCCGTTAGTAACGCCGTTACTAGTAACGCCGTTATTCCCATCACTGTCCTTGTGTCTGCGTAGGTTCCTCCGGGTGCTCCGCTTTCCCCTCCCACTATAAATATGCTCACTAGGTAAAATCCTCCTGCTCCAGTAGTCCTGACCAAGCCGAGCAATAACATCTGGAGATGGCGACCACTGCTCCTGACGTAAGCCTTCGCGGCATCAGGATGGGTCAAATGCAGAGGACAAATTTCCCTACGGGGATCAATAAAGCGCACATTTACATTTACATTTAGACCGTTTCTTTCTCTGTTATCGACCCATATCAGGCCACAATGATATCCCATAATGCATCCCTTCTGTCCTTTTTATAGTATGTATTCCTTGTGTTTATTGATGAACCTTGAATCTCCGGTTACAGTTTGGACTTGTGTGTAAAACTGACGAATGGCCTGTCATGGGCTTTACAACAACGGTATTTACAATCCCCACATGTTCTCTGCATACATTATCCTCGAGGGTTTCCATGGCGACGGTGTGAGGGTCGGTGCAGAGGTCAGGGAGCCGACCAATCGTTCAGTTTGTTCACGCATGTGGTTTAAGACCTGTTTTACTCACTTTTACATTCTCTCTGTGTGAGCTCTGTAGTCCTCTGTGTGTTTTCTGCCCTCTCTCTCTGGTCTCTCTCTCTTTCTCTATCTGGTCTATCTCTTCGCACAACTACTACTATTTATCGTAAATATATGCACTACAATGTAAGCTTCAGTTCAGTATGCTAAAAATGTATCCAGTAAAAAACACTCCTGGTTTTAATGGCGGACATTGATGCATGTTGAGAGCGGCTGTGTGAGGGGGGAGACTGGGGAGGAGGAGGGGGAGAATGGGAGGCGTGAGAGGGAAATGTCGCCACAATTACCCAGGCTGCCAAAAAGGCCCTAATCAAACAGCACTTGGCTCAGCAGGAGCCTAAGGAATCACACAGCTGCTGGAGAGAGCGAGAGGACAGGGGGAGATATGAGAGACAGGGGGAGTTATGTGAGATTGGGGGAGATATTAGAGACAAGGGGAGATATGCGAGACGGGGGAGATATGAGAGACGGGGGAAAAAGCAGAGACGGAGGAGACAAGCGAGGCTAGGGAGACAGGGGAAGATATGAGAGACAGGGGAGACAGGGGAGACAGGAGAGACGGGGGGGACGGGAGAGGCAGGGGAGACAGGAGAGACAGGAGTGACAGAGGTGACAGGGGAGAAAGGAGAGATGAGGGAGACAGGAGAGACAGGGGAGATGGGAGGAAACAGGGGAGACAGGGGAGGATATTAGAGAAGGGGGAGGCAAGAGAGACAGGAGAGGCAGGGGAGACGGGGGAGACAGGAGAGGCAGGGAGACAGGAGAGACGGGGGAGACAGGAGTGACAGGGGAGAAAGGAGGGATGGGGGAGACAGGAGAGACAGGGGAGATGGGGGGAAACAGGGGAGACAGGGGAGGATATGAGAGAAGGGGGAGGCAAGAGAGACAGGAGAGGCTAGGGAGACAGGGGAGACAGGAGAGACAGGGGAGATGGGGGGAGACAGGGGAGGATATGAGAGAAGGGGGAGGCAAGAGAGACAGGAGAGACAGGGGAGACAGGAGAGGCTAGGGAGACAGGGGAGAAAGGAGAGATGGGGGAGAGAGGAGAGATGGAGACAGGAGAGATGGGGAGAGAGGAGAGATGGAGACAGGAGAGAAGGGGGATAGGGGAGAACAGGGGGACACATGAGAGGCAGGGGGAGACTTTTGTGATTTCCTCTAAGAAAACCCTTATTATTATGAATTATTATTTACAAAACATTCAAATCTCAAAATCCAGCTTCATTTTATTATTTCAGCCTCGAAATAGAAACAGTTGTTTCTTTTTGTGGCAGAAGAAGAAAAGAGATTAGCTTTTCTCCCCTCCGAGCTAGCTAACGCGGCGGCGTGTATTTATCATTGTTGGAGTCAATCACAGGCCCCGAGTTTAATGGAATAAAGAGGAACCGTCGGCGATCAAAGCGGCGCACGGATACCGCCCGGCAACCCGGCACAAACAAGATGGCCGTTCTATGCTAATTTCAATAACTCCTTAATTATTGATGTCAGGGCTCTTTTGGATCACGGTGGAAGTGGAAGCGAGACGGAAGAGAGCAGAAGGAAATGTGAATGTGGCTCGAGCGGCGGCTGGAAAAAACGCTCTGAGATAAGAAACAATCATGTTTTATTTATTAACCTTTAATTTATCCTCAGAATGTATCTTTACTTTGGTATTTCCTCTTTTAGATAATGAAACAATGACATAGACAAGCAGCTGTGGTCTGGATATTGAGTTAGATATACTACTACTACTACTATGACTACTACGACTACTACTACAACTACGACTACTACTACCACTGCTACTAAGTCTACCACTAATACTACTACTGCTACTGCTACTACAGCCCCTGCTACTTCTAAGACTACTGCTACGAAGTCTGCTACAGGGGTCTCCAACCTGTGGCTTGGAAGCTACCAGTAGCTCGCCATGCTCTTTCAGGTAGCTCGCCAAAGGATTAAGAATTCAACAAATAGCATAATTATGGTATATTTTACATAATCTGTTTTCTCATAATTATTAGGATTTTACTACGACTGCAAAAAAGGAATAGGGGTCTGCCTCTTCTTTTGTATAAAAGTACTGTAGCTCCCCGATTGAAAAAAGGTTGGCGACCCCTAGTCTACTATAACTACTAATACTGCTACTACAGCCTGTGCTACTAACAAGTAAGTAAGTAATATTTATATATGGCGCCTTGTACTACCACTAAGGCTACTACAACCACTACTACTACAACTACAACTGCTACTGCAACTACTATTTGGTATCGTAATCTCTTTTTATTCTGTATATTTGAAATGTCTTTATCCTTGCAGTGGAGCGGACCCCTGAAACAACTAGCAACAACTAGTGGAAGCTAACGAGGATGAAAATGAATGAATAAACACATTCAAACACATGGAGTTTCAGGTGTGAAAGCTGTAATCCCTCCATTATTACTTTTCACCTCGCATTTGTTCACAATACAATGAATCCGATGATTGGAAAGTCACCTCTGCCAGAAGCTGGAAGTATAGCAATAACCAACCTGGCTCCGCGAACGCCGTGGCTAATGTCCAGAGGCTTCTCAGCGCCCAACGCGAACCGCCATAACCCACGTACCTCGGGCCAGATGCTAAACCAAAAGCCGTCTATAGCGTCGGCTAATTACGTTAGCATATGCGGAATGCTTTCACGGCCCAGTGGGCAGACAGAACGCTCTGCTGTTCCAGAAGTTGGCAGAGTTTAGAGATGGGAAGAGCGTTATCTCCTGCTTTGGGAGGCCGTGTTTATTATGTGGATGTCAGTTTGGCAGAATACACAAAGGAAATTAGGTTTTTGTTGAGGTTTTGTACAATAAGAAGAGTAAGACTATTGCAGTTCCCAGGTAAATTGACACAGTCTTCAAATTATTCAAATTCTATTCCATTTGTTTGGATAAAGCCCTAAGTCACGACAACAGAGGTTGAGGAGAAGTAGATCCTCTCACTTTTTCCTCCCACTGGGTTTTAGAGTTTTTCTTTGCCAATAAAGGGTCTGTTAGACTGTCAGGGTGTAACTAAAAGGACTGTGGTGATGATCCAGGACACATGTATGGACATTTATCAACATTCATGGACTTTGGTCTCTCCCTTTGGTCCAATACAAATGTGTTCTATATTCTGAGTGTTTGAACTGTTTGATTCTCTGATTTGTTGTTGGTGATTGTTTTGTTAAATCCTCGGAGATGATGCTGAGATGTCCTTTAATATCCTGAATCATCACTGTCCTTACATCCTCCTGTTTTGACCAGGAACGACTTAAAGAAAAAGTGAAAAACCTCGGAGAGGGCCACATTGAGAGAGGGATCCACTCCTGCGGACAGACGGCGGTGGATCCAGGACTCATTAGGTCCTTAGGAAGATCAAATGTCATAGAAGTTAGCCAAAAAAGTAGCCAAATTTCACCCCCGTACATGATTTGATTTTTTCTTCTCTACCTATTATTTTCTCCGTTCTCAGATCTCCATATTCCGTATTTTTGCTTGTGCTTTCTGCCCTGGACCAATGTGTTTTTCTGAAAAAAAAAAAAATTCTTCTCTGAATAAATTAGGATTGAATTTAAGACTATACTTTGCAATTTTCATTATTCCCATTACACACTTGAGGCTGCAAACTTTGTATATCTGATGAAGGAAAAAACAAACAAACGGCAGACGCTTCTAAAAGTGACATTTTTGACGCATTTGGTAAAGAACCGTGACCTATGAACCGTCGGCCATTAGACGCTGACACTCGATCCATTCCTTAAAGACAAACAGAACCTTTCGGGCGTTCCCCAGCGACAACAAAAAACAGAAATCGATGTGTCTGGGCCGGAGCCGCTGCCCAATACCTTAATGCTCGATCGATGCCTAATGTCACACTCATTTTTTCTCATTCAACCGTTCCATAGGATCCAGAGCAGGAGGAGTCTCCAGGTGAACGGCAGCGAGAGGAGAGAGGGATGACGGCAACAGGCCTCACAGTAATGTATTTATTATCTGACTGGAATACTGGGAAAAATCCTTGAAAAAATAAGATAAAAATATATGAAAAACAGTAAAATGCATAAATAAACAATAGAACAAGAGAATATGACTTCAGATTTATGAAAATAAGAAAATAATACTAGCCCATAAATTACACGATTCTAGACTAAAAACATGCATTTCAAGTATTATTTACTTATTTTGTTAAACATTTTTGAGACATGTTTTCCTAAAATATTAGCTTAACATTATTTATGTATTTACCCATGCCATATTACACACATGTATATAAACTTTACATTTATGCAAGAAGTCTTATAAATTCCTTGTTTGTTTCGATAAATCATTTTATTTAAACAAGAAAAGTCGTCTGGAAATAAGAAAAAAAATACTTAAATAATACTTAATAAAAAAACAATCGTAAAAACTCACGGCTCAGACTTTTTAAGTATTATTGTCTTCATCATTGTCTAGATTAACAATTAACTACTTTAATTTTATGACAAACTGCATTCAAGCAAAAAAAACTTGCCATTAAAAAAAGAAGCATCATTTATGTTATTTTTAGTGAATAAATATGACCAAGATTTCACTTCTTTCAGTGAACACAAGAAAAAGAGCGGGACCATAGCACAGGGACTGGGGTCTCCTTCTAGTCCCAGACTCAGGAACAGTCTTCCTGAAAATGTATTACAGTCTTCTGCTCTGACACGGTTCAAATCCAGGTTAAAAACTGAAGGACTGTATCTTTATCGTTACTCTTTTTAATGCACTATGATTATTCATGATTTTAATACCTTGTTAAGTACTTTGAAGGGCCTTTTGTAGGAACTGTGCTATACAAATAAACTTGGAAGTGACAGGAGGAATGCATTTTTTACCCTACATTTTTGTTTAATTTAAAAATAAATAATCTACTGAAGTTATCAAGTCACATTTTAAAGCATAAACAAGTAAATAGTGTCATTATATTTTTTGAAAGCCCCAAAAATCCTAGATATACAAGTAGTTTTTAGTGTGCGCTGCCCCCTACTGGTCACTTATCATCCACATTAATATGAATCCATGTAGCATCTGCAAACGAAAATATGTGTTTTATGTTCTACAAGCTTCTAACTCATGTCGTCTCTGTTCTTGCTTCGCTGCACTGGATTAATAAATATTTCCAAATTCAACAAAACATGAAGATTGTGTGAGTTATTGACACTTTCGATAATTCTCCTGTTTGAACAAGTGCGAGAGAGGGCAGAGACAAAGTCAGCGCTTAAATAACAACAACAAAAATGTCCAACTATTGTACACACTTTTCTGTTTTCTCTCGGGGCTGGAGGCTTTGTCGGAGTCGGAAACTGAAATATTGATTGAAACTCGCACAGATTGGCCTCAGAATCTCAGAACGTTTATTCACTGCAAAATATATGAAGTAATAAGTAATCAATGTTTTAGCCTTTATTTGAGCACATTCTGAGTGTCTTAACCCTTTAATGATTTCTTCAACCATTTGTTAGATCACCTTTTGAGTCAATATGTCTACCTTAAGCTCGGAACTGAAATCTACCTCTTTGGGGCATCTCGGTTTTAGGCACTTTAACTATCACTTTTACCATCAAACTGCAACTCAACAATGTGGTAAAGGCCTAAAATGTTACGTTTACTCCTATACTTTTTTATGGTTTACTTTTGAATGCAGTGGAATAGCAGTTGTTGTTTTTGTGTTTTTATTTTTATGTGTTTTTATTTTTTATTTTTTTATTTGTATTGCTTTTTTCTACCTAAGATATCGCTGCAGTGCAGTGTTCATGGTTTTACACTGCTCCAGACCAGAGCAGAGAGGATTCATGGTCCGAACCAAGTGGATCAGGTGAAAATCCACTGGAGGAATAATAACTTTTTGAAAAGTGACCCATCCTGATGCTGCTAAGGCTAAGTCAGGGGCAGTGGTCGCCATAGTAACAGCGTCCGGGAACCCATCTCCAGATGGTGATGCTCGACTTGGTCAGGACTACCAGAGCTGGAGGTTTATCCTAGTGTACATGTTTTAGTGGTAGGGGAAGCCGGAGTACCCGGAGGAAACCTACGCAAGCACGGGGAGAGAACATGCAAACTCCACTCAGAAAGGTCCCGTCCCGACTGGGATTCGAACCCAGAACCTTCTTGCTGAGAGGCGAGAGTGCACCGGCGCCACGGTGGCTGAGTGGAGTTTTACTTTGGACTAGAGCAGAGAAAATGGTCTGAACGAAGCGGCTGCTCCACCTCTGCTGCTGTGACCTGAAGGGCTGTTGCCGATTATTTACTATTGTTAGATTTTTAGAACGATGACTTTTATGTTTTATTTTTTCTGCTCCTGGTCACTTGAATTTCTCCTACAGGGGATCAAAAAAGTATTAATCTATCTAACTAATTAAAAAAATTATAGGGGTGAGTGCTCCTACATCCAAAAAATTGCATTGCTGTCCTCAAGGAGTTCATGTTAAAGAGTTTAAACTAGATTCTCCAATGGGGCAAAGACATTTAGTCTCATTTCAAGAACTGTAGCTTTATTTTCTCATTCAAAGGGAGACATTTCTGTATCTCATTTTGCTTTGTCCCGTTGAATATTCTTGTTTTAAGGCTCAGTCACAATGTGCTCAAATTAAGATGTGTTTTTTGTATCACTTTTTGCAGTGTTCAAACCCGGGCTGTTCACAGTTCAGACAGTAACAAGACGGAACGTCGATACGTCAATAAGTATGTTCTGTTTGAGCCGGGGCCGAGGCCAGTGCAGGGTATGGGTCGGTGTGTGGAGGCTTCAGTTTCTGCCTTTTTCAGACTGTATGTACTTTTGTATCGGAAATGTATGAAATGAATTAATTCAACCCTCGCACTTTTTGGAAAAAGGAAAGGTCCAAAGCATTTCCCAGATCATGTACAACAAACCTGGATGGGTCTCCTGCTGCTGGACACCTGAATTTCTCCTACGGGGGATCAATCAATCCACCCATCCATCCTCCATCCATCCATCCATCCATCCTCCACCCATCCATCCATCTAATTTATTCTCGCATCTGAAAGTCCTTTTCGGCCAACATTGTGCTTATGTATTTTGAATATTGTCAAATAACTAGGCCATAGTTGATTCGTGCTGACGAGGCTGGCCAGGTTTTTGTCTCTTGTGGTTTGGGATTACAGATTTTCTCTCAACTAAGACTTTGGGGAGGTACTATAGACTGTATATATTAACTTAACTATTAACTAACTCACGCCTATCTCCGCCGTTCTAACTAATGTGCCACAACTTCTGCGGTCTATGGGCAGTTTCAAAATGGCCGCAAGGGCTAGAAAATGTGAAAAAACGCATCTGCGCATGCGTCAGCCGGCACGAGCCCCATTCATTTGACGAGTGCCTTCAAAAATTCACAGCGACTACATTAGACTGGTCCGAAAAAAAATTCCCCTCGGCATCGACACATCTAGAACGAAGCTTTGAGCCAAGAGCCGACTTTTGGACCATCCTGTAAAGACGTTTCAAGAGCCAAGAAGATGCTATACATTAGCATTGGCTAATTCTTATTCCGGGTTCACCCCCATCGGCCCGGGCTGGTATTTTGAGCATGTCAGCACACGTCATTTAGGACATTTTTGAGCTGGGACCCGCCCCCACTGAGGGTGGCAAAAGGTTTGAGACCCATGATACTCGCAATGGCATCTTATATATTTATGAATTGTAAAAATGAATCCATTCTTTTCCACATCAGGGTCTAATGCAAAACTGCCTTTTCTTGCATCATTTTGACATTACTATAAAGTTAAATCTAATCTAACAAAAATAAAAGATACCGAGACAAGGAATTCTACTAATATTTTTATTTTTAGAGTCTGGATAGTCTTATGGACAAACTAATGTAAATACTCAAAATGGCATCTTTGGTATTAATGTGTTGTAAATATTAGCCAATAATTGGGCTCTTCTGGTTGGATGCTAACCTGGATTTTGGTCATTACAATGTTCTGACATTGTAATGACGATCGAGTTTAACCTAATCCAACAAACATAAAGCTGCCAAGATAAGGAATAGGGCATCAAACCAGACAAAAACATGCAGTATATCTAAAAGACAATCCAATCATGGATATAAGATATACCGGTTTCTCCAACGCCTTCCTTTGCCGCCTTCCATATTTTAAAGCAAATAATTACCTCTTGACCGCGCCAGGCATTTGCAAAACTCTTCCCAGCCGTCTTAGCGTTCCAACACATCGCTACGGCTAATTATTTATAGACTAGCATTGCATGCAATCCACCGACACCTTTATAGTCTCGCTCTGTCAGCAAATACCTGGACTCTGACAGCTTTCCTGGGAGGAGGTTTCACACACAAATATTAGGTGGGAGATCCTCATTAGCTTCTCCAGTCTCTATCGTTGCGGCGTCTGTCGGAAACGGTAAACAAAAATCTTCAGAGCCCAAACAATCAAGGCAAGTCGGTGTTTTGGGAGACGGAAAAGCACTCGGTTGAAATTGCGTCGGTGGGAGATGTATACTTTTGAAACAGTGCCGTTTGGGAGGAAAAAAGGTTGAGATTGTCAGAAGGCTGTTTGTGGCTTAAGGGCGAGAAAGCTTTGTCTGGAAGCCATGAAGAGGTTTAAGCTTTTGTATTTGAATAATAACAGTCGCATATGTCCTGGTTTGAAAGCTGTCCCAGAAGTTTGTGTTGAGACTGGAGTGATGTAGGGAAGTTGCAAATAGTAGAATAATCAAAATAGGACAGAGATTATTTTTACTGTTTGGTCGAC